AATTATGCAGATGGTTGTGGTACACACACAGAATAGTCTTTACTACTGCTGTAAAGCTAGTCTACCTTAAAAAGCAAAAAGCCTTCAGACTCTGTTTTAAGTAATTTCTTTTTAATATTTCCAGAACTGTGGACCAAATTCTTGCAGATCCATTACGCCATTCAAAAAGGTCATAGTCCTCCCAGGCAAGAGTTACTGCCTCCACCGACCTCCTGGGAAGATTCTTCCTGTACTTCTTGTTCTTTTCAAAGTGTGCTAGGCTAGCATACACAGTCTTTGTTAAACCCTCTGGTTTTGTTGGAAATGCCTGGAAAGCAATGAGCAGAACATCTTCCCTGTAGATTTGAAAGGACACTGAATTCTGGCAGAATCCTAGGAAAGGCACCTGATGACAGAAGGACAGGAGACAGCCTCCTCCACCAGCACGGCTACCCTTGGTATCCAGCTGCTTCCCTGAAGCTTCTTAAGTGTTTTAAGATAATGTTTAATAGGAAGGCGTAGTCCGGAAGATGACACTTAGTCAAAACAGTAACAAAGACAGGAAGGTGAAATTGCTGGTTGCCTTTGCATCCTGGTCCCTTCACACTGGTCCCTTCAAACTGGTTTCAGATTAATATTACATCAAAATACATTCAAAAATCGTGTCTATCACAGCCTGTATTTCACCTTTCCTCTCTAACATAGACACACTTTACAGAGGATAAATTACTGCTTGAAGAATTTTAATTCTTATTATTGTACCTTTATATATGTATATAAAACAGGAAATTGTTTATATGAAACCTATTTTATAGGGTCCCATCATGAAAAGCAGAATGTAGTAATTTATTTTTAAATATTCTCCTTCCCTAGTTAAGGGAATGTGGTTCCACTCAAAACTCTGTAAAACATTATCGGGGGGTAGGGAGAATCACACAGTGGCAGTTTATCACTGGTGGCAGCAAGCACCAAAGGAAAAAAACAAACTCTGGTTGTGAGCATACAGAATATTACCCTCTTTAATAATTAGGTACATACAGCAGGTGCTCATCAAATGTATCTGTCAGTATATTTCTTTTCTGGGTATTTAAGTTTTCTCAAGCACCGTATCAACTTAAAATCTCTTGCAAAATTATTATATCCCACCTGCAACTGTGGATAACAGCTTATCTGCTTCCCTCCACCAAGAATGCAGTGTGGAAGAATTTTCTTTTTAAAAAGAAGTGGAATGTGAATGGGTGATAGAGCAGCATTGCTAAACTTGACTACAAATACCAGGAGGCCTGCTGCACATAGGTTATTACAGCTCTTACTTTATCTAGCTCTACAGAAAGCTCAGGGTGGGCATAGTGCCTCTTCCTGTTCACACCTGCTCTCTTCTCAGCTTTACCATAAGACTGAAGTCAAAGGATGTGCACGAAGCTCCTGCTCTCTCTACTCAGGGCTCAGTATTTTCCCAGACAACAGAATATTCTCCTTTACTCATCACAGGCGACAGGAGTAAAGACAGCTTCCCACTCACTTCATTATGACTCACCGGAGAGGAACAGGGAGAGAGAACACCCTCCTGCTCAGTCAATGAAATCTCTACAGGTAAGGTACCTCATTAAAGGTACTTCAGAGAATATATTATTTAATAAGTTAAATAAAAAATTGATCTATGGCATCCCCTCCACTAAATTCTAAACAAATCAGCAGTGAAGCTAAGGACATTTAAAACTAAGTGTTCTTACAAGGCCTTGAGACATCAGCTGTCAGGATGCCCTCAGACATCAGTATCTTGGGCTAACCCAGTACTAGGAGTGAGTCAGTCAAAGAGGCATTACATATATAAAGGCAAGTGAGGTATTTCTCGGATGTTTTGGTCACAGTAACATTAGCTAATGCACGTTACAAGCAGTACATACAGCACTTCCAGCGGGAGCGGGGCAAAGACTGACTGATTACGCAACAACCACCTCTGACCCTCTTCCTTTCTTCCATCTTATTTTACTGACTTGAATAAATCTGTTATTCAGTGCACACACGACACACGCTGAAAATCACCCAACATATGACCTGTACAGTATTTCATACAGAGACCTAACTAAGCCCTCTGATTCATCTTGCAATGCTTCACCGAATGCGAAGGGGATGACGGTTAATACCGCTATCCCTCCCTCAGCAAAATGACAGATGTACTTCCTTTAAGATGACATTTAAGGGATCAGTAAGCTTTCATTCCTTCCTCTTAGCCCATTTCAAATCCACATTTCTATACACGGATACCCCAGAAGATGTAGTTCACTGAGGCTCGCAAAACTGAACCACATGAATCACTTTTAATGATAAAGTATATTTCACTAGGTTGCACCTATATTATATATTATACATACAAGTAAGAATTATGATGGCATATAAGACTGAACACCTCATTTTATCTTCAGTATTTATTAGAATCTTTTGAAAAATGTCTAACAGTATGAGATCAGATTGCCAATTTTTGTAGAGTCTAAAAAGTGTTAGCACCATCAGCAAAAAATATTAATTTTTAACAGTGATGCCGTTCTGGATTTAAATTGATACATACTTGATCTGACCATTTTTCTATCTATTCACACAGATATTTTACAAATATCTAGAGAATCTTCCTCAAGGGCCAGTCTTTCATTAACTTTTCGATTGGTACCAATATCCAGAAGTTTGTAAGGCTACAGACTAGAATCTTCTGACTGGTTTCTGTGGCATGACTAGAGAGATGGAGAAGTAGTACTTCAAAAATCTTCCCCAAGCACTAAGAATTGTACTCTTTTAAATATGCATTTAAAATAATAGATACTAGAAGCAAACAGTAAGCAGAAAAAGGGTGGGGGGGGGGAGGGGAGGAGAAGGTCCTGTGCTAGGGAACTCCAGTGCTTTTTCTGCTGCCAGTTCAAAGGTATGATTGTGATCTTTCAACTATTAACAAAAGAATCATGTTTCAGTCCCTGAAGAGTTCAGGTGCAAAAAGAGAATTAAAGCAAAATGCCACAGCTAAATATGCATCGGGAAAACACGTACATTTACCAGATAGAAGAAGAGTAAGCAGTTTCCTGGTTAAGGTTACTGAAAACAATATTCAGAGGAACTACTTCTAGCTAAGTACGAATGTCTACTATGTTGTAACCTACCAGTTAGAATACCAAGGACAAACCTTCCAGATTAATAACACGCTATTACTAAGTATAGAACCCAAGAGGAGAGAGGCTTTCAAATTTCCTTCAGGTTCCACTTCCTCTGTTTGGTAACAATGTGAGGCATAGAAGAGGCTAGGAACTTTGATATGGTTTTTAATTTTTAGAGAAGAAACTTTATCCAGGTGCCCACAGCGTATCACAGCACAAAAAGCAACCTACTGTCCTTTTTGAGCATAACTTTCAGGAATAAATTACTAAACACATGGTAAAAATAAAAGTTTTCCACAAATCTTCAAAGCATTTTTTCCCTTTGTTTTAAGGATTTCACTAAACCTGTTCACTAGCTTTATGACAGGACGTTTACTCCCAGCCCAATCCACGCTACACAATGCCTTGCAAATACTGCTGGCAAAGTCAATTAGACTGAATACATAGTAAGAAGAAACTGTATCAGAAAAAAAACCCCAAAACAACAGTTCTCAAGAATAGGAGAAAAGTACTCATTGTTTTTCACCTGGATCATCATACAATTGCAGCTATAACATCAATCACATTGGCACATCCCATTGCTAGGCCTCTAACAGTTAACGGCAGCAGCTTGTTCTAAGCGCACATTAAAGATGCGGATTAAGTTGCATGCTAGAGAGCACTTGTTCACACAGCCTGCCCAGTACAGATGACACCATGGCCCAACTTCTAAGTACCTTACACAGGACACAGACAGTCAGATGCTTCAGAAAGAGACCACGGCACTGCCAAGGAGCACACTCACATACAGGAAAGCCAATGGCAAATACTGAAGAAAGGAAACGTATCTCAAGTCACACTCTTCTCTGGAAATCACGTTTCTAACTCTGAGTCTTACTAGAGAACACACTCCCTACTCAGCCTACTCCACAGTCTCAAAGCCAGAGCATCCTCCTGAAAGGCAGGTTTTTGAGTCCACTCAGACTTCAGGCAGTGAATCAAATCTCCCATTTTCTGATTGAGTGCTCAGAACAGTTAGGTAGAAAACCGTAAACAAGCATCAGAATGAATTAATCAAAAAGCTATTGACCAAAAAAAACCCCCACCTTCCACAGTATGAAAGCTTTCTGTAAAAGAGTCAAAAGCAAGCTTAGAAGCCCTGTACAACCAGATGTCCAGACTTTCTTAAGAATACTAACAAAACTACATTTTAAAACTCTATGTATAGGCTTCACTAATCTCTTCTGCACTTCTCATTTTAGTGTCCTCCTTCAACTATCACCAAAAAAAGGGGGGAGGGGGAAAGAATTCAAAGGAAACATTTAATGCATTTATCACTGAAAACATGTAAAAATAACTTTGCAATGCAAGACACCTTGCTCCAAATATTACTCTTTTTATTACAAAACAAAACAATACAGAGTCTCCAGATAGGTTAAAAATACAGGGACAAAATAAAGTCAAAAAGCCATCAAAATTCATGATACAAAATGAGATAAAAAAGCAAATTAAGATGATATACCATTTAAGAATATAGACTTTTTTATTATGAAATACAACATGGCAAATTAGCTTTTCAATGAGTTATCATGCATTCAAAAGGAGAAGGTTGTTCAGAACCAAAGAAATGAGCAGATGATGTTGGAAGCTAGTAGAAGTAAATTTAGTATACATGAAAATACACATGCATGATGAAATGTAATCAAATGTATAAAATTCTCTCTCAACAGACAAATATACAAAAATATCTCTTTTTTTTTTCCTCATTTAAATCAGAAGCCCCTCCATTAGCAAATAAGAAAACAGAACAGTTGCTTCTTATATTCCATAAATAAACAGCTTACACAATGTCAAGTCTGCCAACTTTTTATATTGTAGTTACAAAACATATCAACTTACAGAGGACAGCGACAGCTCCGGATTCAAACATGAGACACTCTTCTCTGTTTCTGGTTTCCACTATGACACTGAATGGAAGTGGATCCAGCTTGTGATAGACACGGTATCCTTTACTGAAAGCCATTTTGCCTTTATCAGAGGCAGTCCTGTCCAACACAAGATGATGTTAGTGAAACCTTCTTGTGCTTCCAGATACCTTCTGCAAAGCAGGTCTGACTTGCATCCTTTCCTAGGAATTTTACATGTTTAACAAAAAACAAACAACCTGCTCGCTCTTTCTACCTCATCAGACTTATTTTATCTCATGTTCCAAAACAAATATAGGGACTACCTAAAGACAACATAACAATGTTTTAAAAACACAATTACCCAGAGAAACATCTTTCAAAATAAAGGATTTATTTAAAAGCTTCTCAGACAATGAGAATTTCTTTCACAATGCTTAATAAATAATTCTTTTTTCTCAGAAAAAAAAAGAAAAGAAAAGAATGAAAATAAGGTTCTCCAGCCATCACAAATACCCAACAGTGGCAACTATCTTAGCCATAAACTAATGCCAAATGCAGAGAACCAGAAGCCTGGGCAGGCTTCAATTTTTAGTTCTATCTTACTGATTGTGACCTTGTACAAAAGGACAGTATATTTTAAACACTAAAGCTATTAGGACATTTTAAAAGATCATACAAAAACATTAATTTTGTTTTAATTAAAGCAGGTTTTTGTTGGGATTTAAACCCTTCCCTGCAGCAGCTGACGGCTGGAACACTGCAGCACTGTACTAGGGAAACTGCCTGTAAGCCACAGAGGCGAGATCTTCCTTTAAAACAACAAAAAACCCCAAACAATAAGAAAACATAAACAAACGTGAGCGCAGCCACATTCTAAGGGCTTAAGCTCAGGAAGCACGCAGCGAGGGGAGACGCCTCTCGAAAGGCAGGAGCGGGGCTCTCTGCCCGCTCCCCTCCCTCCAGCTCGGTGTCCCCAAGCTCTAGGG